GATGGAAAAAATGAACCAGAACATGTTAGGAAATTGTTTATTGGTGGTTTAGATTACAGAACTACAGATGATTCTTTAAAGAAACATTTTGAAAAGTGGGGTGAAATTGTTGACGTGGTAGTAATGAAAGATCCGAAGACAAAGCGATCTAGAGGATTTGGCTTTATTACTTATTCTCGTGCACATATGGTAGATGACGCGCAAAATGCAAGGTTGTATATATTACAAAGTAAATAAGATATGTTTACTGTCATGTTAATTGTTAATAACTAATATTTTTAGATGCAATTAAAAGATATAATATGTAGAACATTTATAAAATTATGATCATAAATGACATGTTCCATGCTGCTGGAAAAATATGAATTTTGACAGAATTTTAAGATGAAATTAAGAAGTCACATTAAAATATTTAATTATGGAAAAATATGAAAGGTCTCAAATTTTTAACATTTTAATCTACTTTTATACATATTTTATTTGAGCCTTGAGAAGTTCCACTTTCAGAAACTGTTGTATACCTTTGGTAATACACGAGGCATGGAATGTGTTAAAAATAAAAGAAAAGTGTAATGGATAGGATCAAATGTGTGCGCGCGTGTATATATATTTTATTTTGTTATTCTAAAACTCTCTATATATCTATATATATTGACAGTAAATGTGTTATGTTTGTTTAATTACACAATTTCATTTCCTATTAATTGTAATTGATAAATTTTTATTTCTTTATTTACAATTATAGACCACATAAAGTAGATGGACGTGTAGTTGAACCTAAAAGAGCTGTTCCTAGGCAAGAAATTGGTAGGCCTGAAGCTGGAGCAACAGTAAAGAAACTGTTTGTGGGTGGTTTAAAAGATGACCATGAGGAGGAAGACCTTAGACAATATTTTCAAAGTTATGGTAGCATAAATTCAATTAGTATTGTGACTGATAAAGAGACAGGCAAGAAACGTGGTTTTGGTTTTGTTGAATTTGATGATTATGACCCTGTGGATAAAATTTGTTTACAACGTAATCACCAAATACGTGGCAAACATGTAGATGTTAAAAAGGTAAAACAATAATATTATATTATCTTTACAGGAGAAAATGTTTCAGAATTTCTAAATTGCATTTTTATTTTATAGGCTTTAAGTAAAGCAGAAATGGCTTCTGCATCAGGAGGTGGTGGTGGCAGTGGTGGTGGTGGTAGCAGAGGAGGGCAAAATGTAGGAAGAGGACCTCGTGGCGGCAATCAGGGAGGTGGTAATTGGGGAGGTCGAGGAAGCGGCGGTGGTGGGGATTGGAATAATGGTGGTAATCAAGGTGGTTATGGTGGAGGTAATCAAGGAGGTTGGGGCGGTAACGGTCCTTGGGAAAATCAGAATCAAGGTAAAGGTTCGCAGAAAGATAAATTTTTCCCATTTTACTAAGTATTGCACTAATGTATTAATAATATATTGCAGTACATTAATTTGTTTAAGAATTCTAATAAAGATATTTTTAAGGAGGTGGCTGGGGAGGTCAAGGAGGACAAGGTGGATATAATAGTGGTGGAAATTGGAGCAATGACAACTTTGGAGGAGGTTACCAACAAGGCTATGGCGGTGGTCCAGTACGGAATAATTTCAACTCTGGAGGAAGACCTGCACCCTATGGTATTAATATGGGTCCTAGTGGCCGACAGTCTGGAGACTCGAGATGGCTACCACCCTTCGGTGGACAAGGTTGCTTCTGTCCTTCTCAAAAGCCAACGCGTCTGTTACGTGCCTTGAGCAACTACTCATAGATTTGCATTAATTACTTCTGATAACAATATTACTTATATTCATTCGTATGTGCAATATACTATTGATGACTATAATAAGTTGCACAAGGAGCGTTCAGCTTATATTAATACAGTTTTATAATACTCTTACTAAGTATCCACAAAAGTATTACATATCGATTTTAATTACATTTTGTAGAGAGAGAATCAAAAAATATTTGGCAAAATATTTAGCGGTCATTAGTGCAGATATTAAAAATATTTAATAATGATATGTATTGGTGATTGGAATTTAAATCATACGAAATCAGTGAAAAAATGAACTAAATATTTAATACTCGAATAGCTGATCGAAAACAGTGACTCGGCAAGCCGATGTCGAGTCACTTTTGAGCTCTACCAGAATTTTTATTATTCGTCCTTGGGAACTAATTCTTAGATCCTAAATATCTTCTATTAATGCTAATGATAGAGGAAGGGCATATGTTTGAGAAGTATAAATATATTATTTATTTTGTTCATGTGTGCTGTATACGTGAAATAGTATTTTGTTTTATCAAATGCTGTTTGCATATATGTTTTAAGCATTTTATACATTTTGTGGTACATTTATTTTATCATTATGACTTCGTTCACTTTTTTCAAATTTGCTAAATGCAGACGTAGTTCATTAGATCTTTGGGAGTACTAAGTACTACGTGCTAAGAACGTTGGAACTTTCACGCAGTTATGGTTTATGTTACAGTGATAAGACTGCACCGTGCGTTTAAGACGCAAACACGGGTCAAATGTGACACGTCATTGGTTAGGCGAGAGTTAATATTAAATTTGTCTCTTCTGTCAATATTTTCATTAGATTTTTCAAGTTTTCTTTTAGCTAAATGCTTTGTTCTCTATATTTTTTGATTTTTAAGAAATAATGAGTTTACAATAAATTTAGATTATTTAGAAAGGAATCGTACTTGCACTTACATTTAATGATTCATGAAAACGAGAAAAAAAGAAAGATTCAAGTGCTAAATTTTTCATAAATTGGGAATATGATTGAAATGGCGTTCACTTTTGTTTAATTTTTTTAGCAGCTAGGAAAGAGTAGATTGAATATCAGTCTTAAGAATAGTTGTATTCTCATTTCCATTCTGTTTTGTGTGATAGAACTTCTAGACGTGGATACTTACTAGACCCGAGGATAGTGTATATGATCCTGACCAAGGTTTTGGATTCCTACTTCTTGAAATGAGTTAGTTTGTTCAGTTAGATCAGGACCGTTTTGTGAGTGAGGGCGCTCCTTTTGGCCCTGGGAAAAGTTGGGCAGCTGCGGTCGTTGCAAATGATGTGACAGTCACAAAAAAAGTGGGGAATAACAGTAGTGGTGGGAGTATAGGCTCGCAACTACGTTGACTCGGTAGACTCGTTGGTAGGCATGTGTTTAGTATGTTCATGAGGTGTTTCGTACCATCGGTTACTTTTTTCAACAAGTAGCCTAGTTTTCACTCTTAAGTCAGGAGATAACTTCTACATTCATATAGTACCCCACCGCAAGATCGTTGTTCAGGTAGACATAGCATATTGCCCCAAAATCGCCCCTATGCTCCCGTTTATCTGACCACTTCACATAGAACAACTTCATGAGCAGGTCTGATTTAGACAACACATGTTTACTTTGTCTAATTTTACTATTTATTGTAGGTATCCATTTACAATAGGGTTGAATTTGTTGTACAACTAGACAAGTACGGCCACTGTCACTAAATTATTAAATATTTGTCAAATATTTGTTCATTTTCTATTTACTTACAAAGTATTATCGAAGTTGATGTGCAATATTTATGTGGTTTTTTTTTTGTAAAGTTCACATGTTATTGCGTTTTATAGGAATTGAATAATTAATTGTGTAGCATGATAAGATTAATCCTAACTATATAATTAGTATTAATAAGATCAGATTATCTACAAATGGATCTAGTGATATTTGAGAAATATTAAGTGCATATGGACGAAAACAGTCATATTTCTAATATATTGTAAATTATACTAAGACATAGGCGCGATGTTGCAGTGAGAAGGAGCGCCTTTGTCCATTTTCTTTATTTTATCCTAATTCAGTTTATCCATAATATGCTGAATCATTATTTTATAAAAATATCTCGCTATAGAGGTAATTGTTTTAAAAAATATTACATAGTATGTTATAATTTGTGCAGCCATTTTTTATTAAAATAGGTATAAATATTACACTATAAAGTGTTGATTATACTTAACATTATTCAATTATTTTTAATGATACACAATAATTATATTATTTAAATTTATTGAATATGTTTAATCTCTTGTTAAAATAGTAAGTCTTGTGTCAATATTGTATCATTATCAATAAGTAGTATTTTATAGTATCTTACATAACTTCTGAACAGTTTTACTAACCTTTTACAATTTATTTATTTGCTTTTCAGGTCCAATGGGTGGTGGAAATTCTGGAGGAGGTGGCGGGGGTTATGGCAATCAAGGAGGCTATGGCGGTAGTTCTCTTGGAGGTGGAAACATGGGAGGTGGAGGTGGCGGTGGTGGAAGAAGATATTAAAATGCGTTATCCCACGGTTGCTTCCCTTACATGGTAAGCGGAATTTGATTACAATTATTTCTATTACATTTAAGAAATTAAAGATATTAAAGTGATGCCCATGTTTCACTTATATATAAACTAAAACATTACGGTCTTGAAATAAAAAATTTGCTTAAATAAATATAGTTTGTAGTAATATCATATACACGTTAAAACTTTTTTCTAAAAGTTAGTAGGGAAGAAATTTATTTTTTTTTTAAATAAATGTATTAGACAACTTTGAATGCTTATTTAAGGTTGAAGATAAATTGTTTCTTATCTTCAACTACATGGAAACATTAGTTATGTCAGTTGTTATTATGGTAGAGTGGGGATACACATGAATGATCTGAAAGAATATTTAACCTAGTAATTCTTTGATTCAAGATTTTTATATCACA